TATATATATATATATATATATATATATATATATAATGTATGTTTACATTATTAGATATTACAACATTTTTTAATCATTCAATTATTAAGTCAATTATTAAAATAATTATTTTAAATTGTTTTGAAATATAGATATATAATCTATAGATATAATATAACTTAAAGTAATTATGTAAAAAAAACCATTCATAGTTACAAGAGATTCTAAAGCTTTAAATGATTAATAAATATCTGTACATTAGTGTGAAATATATCTTTAGTGTCTTTTAACATACAGAATTTATATATTTTTTTAAAATTCTCAATAATTTAAAAAAGTAAAAGAAAAAAAAATTTAGTAATTAAAAAAACAATGACATATTAAATGGTCAAATAAATAGGCAAATAAATATTATATCATTGTATACCATAAATGCGTTTGATTATATACAATAATAATAGGAAATAAGAATCCATTGATTGAAGAATGAAAATGTTCAAATGATTCATTTTCAATAACATAAATTGCAACTTTTTTATAAGTATGAATGGATCCAGTATTCGTCATGCAGTTGATTACTAGATGATCCATTGTACAAAAGTTGATAAATCAATGGGATGATTGGATATATTCTCTAAATATAGAATAAATTAGAGAATATATAAGTAAATATATATATTCTCTAAATATAGAATAAATAAATAAATTAGAATAAATAAAAGTAATGTTTGTAATGAATAAATTTTTGACTCTGATCAATGAAAGACTGTAAGGAGAAAACGTAACACTGTTTACTGTGACAGTAAAACACAGTGAATAGTAAAAAATTGTAATAAAAATAGAATAGAAGAATTAGCATTTATATATATAACTGATAGAATAGATGTTATTGATGAAATAAAGATTTATATTCATTTGTTGTAAAATAATTTATTATGAAGTGCAACTAAATTAGATGTGAATTAGACATTTTACTCCTAACAAGAAAAAATATAATATAGCTGCATTCATTTTAATCATTAAATAACTTCTGGTAGAATATTTTTGTACTGGAAATTTATAAACTAAATAATAGATATTTCTTTTGTATTTAATTTTTCATTAATCAAAAGTACATCATTACTTTTTTGAATACAAAATTTTCATTTTCCTTTTTCCTTTGTCTGTTTTTTCTGTAATTATTACTGGAATTATTACTTTTGTATATTTAGTGCCAAATGATACTAAAATATATATATTTTTATCCTATATCTTAGAATTGTTTTAGAGGTTAAATGAGAAGATTAGTACAAATATATTTAAAACATTATAAAATATAATTATGTATTATGTATTATAAAATATAATTATTTATTATGTATTATATACTCAATTAAGTCGGTCAAATTTTTTAAATAATTTATATTATTAAAAAATTAATACTTCATTCTTTGAACTTTAACAGATACATTAAATAATGTATTTTACCTTCAGTATCAGGAAACATAGCTGGTAAATGTTCATGTATATGTACAGATCTTGTTACAACTTCCCGACTTCCAGGTTTCAAAAAATTTAAATGATTTTCACGTTGAATGGGGAACTTAGGTACTGCTATAGAGCATGGAACAAAATCTACATTTTTTATATATTCTGTTAATTCTTGAATATCGATATTCATATACTGAAATGCTAAACCTAAATCATCAAGATTTGCTTCTGTCCTTCCCACTGGAAAAAAAAACATTTAATGCTTATAATTTAATATTTGAAATGAAATAGATTTTAAGTTTATATAAAATAAAACAACTATATTATAACTTTCATATATTATGTAATTATTAGTATTAATAATACTATTATTAGTAGTATACTTAGAATAGTAATACATAGAATAGTATTATTAATACATTAGTATGATAATATTACTATAATAGTAATTATACTATTATATTATAGTAATTATTAGTATTAATAATACTATTCTAAGAGGAGATTTCAATCTAGAACTTTTAAATGACTAATTTTTTTTTTAGATTTTCTACTTCTTTGTGGTTTGAAGATCATGTACAGTGATTCTCACTAATATCCAGACACTGTAGAATGCATTATTCATTTTAAAAAAATTTCATGTAAAAATTTTACATAGGAAGATTGGCTAAAATGTCAAAAAATTCAGATATATCATGATACTATAATAAATCCTGCTTATGGATATGTAATGATCAATTTTTTAAGTCTTTAACATTATCAATAACAAATTGTCACTTAAAATTTGCCATGATATTTTTTCACATTAGGAATGTGCATCGGTCAAATTTTTAATTAAATCTATTATAAAAGTATAAAGATAATATTAAAAGTATGGACTAAAGCTATTACTTATGAACGTAGATCCATAAAATAATTGAGACTAAATATCTATTATTTTTACTCATATTACTTAGATATTTATAATTTCATTTACGTTTTAGTAATAAATAATGAAACAATGAAATAATTATTTTAAATTAGATGTTTTTATTTTTGTACAAATATGGTAATAAGTCTACCTTTTTTCGACAGTAAGTTCATCCACTTTGAATTAACAATAAATTTTCCAGTTCTGGAAAATACTCTTTCAAAACTGACAGATGTTGCTGATACATACAAATATAAATATTTTTTGGCAAGTTGGCAATCTTAAATATTTTTTCTCTTCCATCATTGTAATGGACATAATTATGATTTATTTCAATATCCTCCAAATACATTTTTAATTTTGACTTGTTGGTACTTACATATAAAATAATTAATTGTTGCATTGTTTTATTATTTTATTTATCACAAAAACATAAATTATTCAAAACATAAGATAAAGTTATATCGAATAGGTAACTGAATACTTTATATACCTGAATAAAGATATTAGTTTTAACATGAACAAAAAGAAAATTTTCGTTATTAAGCACATTTCCATGTCAATTCAGCAATAAAAATTGAACAAAAAAAAAGAAAAAAACTTTAACTAATTGCAATAAGTTTCGTGAAGAAAATCTTTCTAAACTAGAAATTTCCCTTAATTAAGGCTTTATAATACTTTATGATACTTTATGGATACTTACAAATTTCGGCATATTGATGAGTAAGTCTTGAAATTCGCAAAATATATTCTTGCATAAGATCAACCATAAATTCTAATGGTGTAGAATTAATTGAATGCCATCCAATTGTTTGACAAATTTGAGCAACCACCATTCTTAAAACACATCTACTATATTCTATTGACATTTTCAACTGAGAAAAAGATAATAAAAAATTAGTATTTACAATGAAAACTAACAAAAGTTACAAGTAAAAAACATTATTAAAATTTTATAATTGAATATAACAAAATTGATGTATTCCATTACTTAAATGTGGAAATTATTTAATTATAGAATTTTGTTTCGCTTACCAATGTAAAATAAATTATACTATTATAAATTTTCTAATTCTTCCGTTTATTAATTTGAAATGTCTATATACATTTCTATTATATTAAGTTTCATCCAGCACTTCGATATTAGGTTGTGTAATTCTTTTCAATAATAATGCACATTTCACTTATAAAATATAACACAACCGATATACAACGAAATATATTCGTACTTCACATCTTTTAGATGTACATATGTATTTCTGCTTCTTCGTAATCACTGATGCATATTATAACACTTATACACCATATACTATAATGGCGGATAATTTCTTCAGTCATAGAAGTAAAAAAGATAGCGTTGTTTTAGTTCTTCTTCACTCATTTCTATTAAAATATAAAATTTAATCAAATTCGAATATTAAAAACGTTCTATTATTATCGTTATGTTAGATATTGTACACATTTATCTATTTTACTGCATAAATATAATTTTGTGCAATTATAAATTAATTTCATAACAAATTTTACAAAAAATATGACTTTTCGAAAAAGTTTTTCTTTTTTATAAAAAAAATATGAAGATATATTTCACATTTATTTATTTCTATTAGTCCAGATAATATTAACAATAATAATATTTGAATATTAAATTCACAATCTAACAAATAGAGAAATGTCTCTATGAATATTACATATGTATGTATAACTAGTTTAGTACGGTAACCATGACGAATATAGTATTCGTTCATGGCGGGAATTTGAAATTTCTTTTCAAAATATCAAAATATTAAAGCGTAGTACTTATTTTAATTCTTTGTAAATAAAATTATATTACTATAGAATTATACTGAATTCTATATCTAAATTCTATCTGAAACAAGATAACTAAATAAATGCTATGATTAACCAAAATTTTATTGACCCTTTTTTATCTGTATAAAAAAAATTATAGAAAAAGATTATTGTCACTAAATTTAAAATAATAAAATAATGTCGCATTTTATTTTAAACTAAAATTAGTTATCATTAATATTTTTATATTGCAGAATCATTATAGTTATGATAATTGAGATGAATAATTTCTATTAATATTACAATTTTAATTTTATAAATTAGAATGTAGAATGTAGAATGTATATGAAAATATAAAAATTGCAATGAATTAAGTAATATTTTTAAATTATCTATTAAAATTTTGAATAATTTTCTTTTTGATATTGGAAATAGTGATTCTTAAATATTTTAGAGATGTTTTGTATTAAATTAAATATTTTTAAAATATATTAGTCATTGGTTGTGGTATCACTATTGACTAATGATATCACCATTATTGACAAATAATTTTACATTAACAAATTTTTATTTCATATTTCAGTTATTTTAGAAGTTAAGTACATTATCTGTATGTAGATGTGCATATCTATATGTATGTATATATAAATATATGATTTTAAATAAATTTTAAGATTTTCAAAATCTTAGTTTAAAAAAGTTGTAAAATATTGAATTTAACAAAAAGAAACAAAAATATAATACAGAAAGTTAAGTATAAACACTACACATAAAATTTTTTTTTTAGGTGCACATAATATAAACATTATGTAGTATATTATAAAAATTAAGTTTAAAAAACAAAATAATTCTTTTATTCTTTAAATTATATTAATAGAAAGCTTTTGTACTTTAGTATGTTTCATCATTAATAAAAATTTTTTGTAATAATATGAATATGCAATGATTATGTAATGGTCTTAGTATTATTTTTTCCTTAACATTTTTACATTCTTTTATATTAAAAATATAATAATAATCAGAATCTAAGGATCTAAGGAATAACTGAAATGCAAAATTTTCAAGTTTTGATAGATTTATTAAACTTTAATTATTAAAAATATTAAACTTAATTTTTTATTTTATTTCTTCTAAGTATATTTTCCTAATCTTTTATACTTTATCATACTTTCTAATTTAATATAATGTTTTCAAACCATAAAAGATTTGAAAGAAAGATTTATTTTTACATATTTTTTATTTTGAATGTTTATAAGTTACTTTAATATCATCTTTCTATACATCATTTCTTAATATTTCATAAATATTCTTTAAAAAAATGTTTGCTCCACATTTAAACACAAGTAAATAAGTATAAACAAAAAACATAACAAATATTTTGAAGATAATTTTTACATGGAAAATGATATCGAAAACAAAATTTTGTTATTAAATGAAATTAAATAAATTGGTTTGAAGTTTTTTTTTTATTATTATATTAAATATTTTTATTATTATATAATTATATTTTTTATTATATTAAAATAATTTAAGTATGTAATGTGCAATATATTCTAATCTATTTATCACATAATATTTAAAATGTTAATATTTTAAATAAAATTTATTAAGGATAGTCTTTAAAAAATTAGATTAATAGACAAAAATAATAAAAACAATCTTTAAATATTTTGTCACTGTTTCCAATTCTCTATTTTATTTTCATACTTTTTATTTTTTTTTATATTTTTGTATTTTCATAGATTACATTGATGTTTCAAAAACAACAGTTGAAGGATGAAATAGATTAAATTCCACTTTTGAATTCTTGAAACTAACAGTAAATTGTTCTCGATGATGCTTTATCGTGCAACAAATCGTTCCATATATTTATTCTTATGTTAAATTACTATGAAAATTGTAAAAAATCATCACACGAAAGTACTTTTGATTTAAATCCATATTTTTACGTTTTTTTTAAATTCCGCGAAACTATAATTACGAAATCAATGAACAGTAACGTTTTAAAATTGTCAAGCTTTATGAAAATTGCATTAACAATCGTGTAGCAGCACTAGAAGTGGCCGATTCTCGAAATTTTTGGACCAACTTATATACAGTAATTTTTGAATCAGTCCATTATGGTTACTGTTCTTTAGTCAGATTAGATGAAGATTGAAGCTTGATAGAGAATTGAACATCAAACTCGTTGAAACTATGTTGCAACGTGTCCAGACATGTTCTAACAATAAGTTCATGAAGAAGCCTGTAGATACCGTGGTCGGTAACGTCGGTGCTCTATTATCTGTAGTATCCACAAACGTTGGCAATATTTGAACTAATGGAAGGAAAGATAATAAAAACTTTCAAATATAAATATGTATTTTTCTTGTCTACACATCGGATTTTCACGTTACAATAATCTCTCATTCCACGTGTACCGCAATGGGATTGGACATATTGGTTCTATCAAGGTCGCTCGAACAAAAAAGAATGAGGGTATTTCGTTGGTGGCAAAAAGCAAGAAACTTTTTGCCACGCTTTTGCTTATTTCACTCCAAAAAAGGTGGCGCTGTCCGTATCATGGAAACGCACCTTTCGGCGGAATGATTGAGCGGAAATAGGTGTCGCTGCAACACATTGGGTGTTACTCGACGTCGCTACAAACCTTTTACTGAAGCCCTCTGAATGAATTCATTGTAACTTGCTTGCAGTTTGTAAATAACAGATACCGATACCTCCTTCCAAGCACAGATTAGATATATACTTCGTCTGTGTTCCGAGCGAATATTGTTTGCTGCTCGTTGTTTACAAGTGTTCACACTGCCAGCGAACACGGTTCGTAAATTGTTTGCAAACTTTTTGCGATTGCAGTGTAAATTATATGAATTATATTTGTAATAATATATATTATTATATATATTATATATATTATATATTATAATTATAATTATATAAATCATATTTATAATTATATAAATCTTTTTTTATAACAGTATAACAACTTAAAATTCAGATCATTGAAGAATTTAAATTTATAATCTAGTTACGATTTATATTAATATTAATAAAAGTGATTGTTATTAATAAACTATTTAAAGTTGATTTTCTACTGTTATTTTTGCAAAGATTATATAATATAGTAAAAGTATCTTATTTTTTATATGTATATAAAACATTTATATCTTATTTTATTACTTACATTATATATGTATATATCAACATTTTATATCTTATATTATATATGTATATAAAAATCATAAATGTATGTCGATAACAATTAAATAATAGTACAATTAATTAATAGTATTTTTGTTAGTAAGTTTAATAAAAAGCGAATTATATTTATTTCAACCAAAGGAAACCAATATCTTTCCACATATCTTAAAAAAATAAATAGCGTAAAGTTTATGATTATTTATTCATAAAACAAAGGTATGTGATTACAACTTTCTATGCATCTAATTTGACGTATGTTGAAACATTATATTATTAGAGTAGTATTATGGCTCCCTTATGATTTCATATTTATAACAAAAGTATTTGAAGCTAATTATAGACACAGAGGAAGATGTTTTTATTAAATATCACAAATAAGTAATAATATTTTTATTAAATATTACTAGCAATAAATATAAATAATTTAATCTGCAAAACGAAATTTTTCATCCTATTTAAAAAGAAATATTTTTTATAAATTAAGGAAGTTAAAGAATTATGTGTTGGAATATATCTGATAAAAAGTTTAGAATTGGTATTTATAAGTAAGGTCTTTGATATTTTTAAAGTTTCCAAAACTATGTCTGTTATATTTAAATTTTTTCACGTTGGCCCTTTATTTGGAAATTTTAAGAGGATAATATGGAAGCAAAGCTCTGAATAATTATACAATGTAAGTCTCGAAAATTAATTTTTAAATTAATTTAAATTAATTTTATTTTACATATAGAGATTTCTCATAGAGCTGCTCACTGATATAGTTTTGTGCAATGTGTAACGGCATAGGTATAAATAAATGTGGCGACACATGGAAATGCCTCTCATTTGATTATACACACAATAAGTGCGCATTTTATAAAAAACAATTGATTTTTGTTTATAAAGAAAAGAATTTAATTTATTGATTTATCTTTGATTTCTAATATTAACAAATTAGTTTAAG